TTTAGCTGTGCTGTGCATTGCTTGTTGGTAGGTAGTTCAGAATCAGAGCTATGCTTCTTCAGCAATGCTTTACTAAATAGAAGTGCTTGGAAAATATACCACTTATGCAGAGATAATTTTGTCACTACGTACATATGCCATACCCGTAATATCTCTATATATCTGTGTCTCAATTACAGTATTATGCGTGATCACATAGTATTTTCTGCAGTATAGCTAGATAAGCCCCTCTTTGCTTTTATGAAAGTAAAACAAGGCTCCCTGTTTTATTTAGTCAGTGGCTAGTTGATCAGTATTTTTATTCTTTGCTGAAAAATACGTAGCCTCAGGCTTTATTTTTAATGCAAACTATGTAGAATTTTCATTTAATGCATTCCTTTGGTGTCCATGTTTTTAACCTGACATATCTCAGTTTTGTTGTCTCGTGTCCAAGGAGGAAGACCTTTATTCCATTTTAGAGATAGGGAACCAAAATAAAGAGAATACAAGGTGAAAAGGGACCAACTCTTTGATGTTCAAGCTAAAAACTCTTTTTGTTTTTCTTATTTTTCCTTCATTCCTTTTTTTTTGTCCCAACCCCTCTTCCTGCCATCACAGTGTACAAAACTGTTGATTTTGGTTGTTCTTGTGGTTTACAGAAATGCCAGGCGTCTGCTCTGAAATGTCTCCTATTGGGGTGGTAGGCACAGAAGATGAGTAATATGTGTTTACTGTCCTGCTGTTGGAAATGTCACTGCCCGTGTGGCATGGCACATTTGGGGCAGCAGCAGGCAGAGAGCTCCTTTCTTTAGGGCTTTTCAGGTCCTTTGGTCCTGAGACCGTGCTTAGCCCTGTGGCCTCTGGCTCCCTGCAAGCCAGCAGGCTTCCGAAGAGAAAAATGGGAATCGCCCCTAGCCCTTTCCCTTCCCAGAGCATTCCCAGAGCCTGCAGGCCATGTGCTGGGAGGGCCCTATGGAAAATATGAAATGCGATCATGTAATCGGATACTATACAGCAGGGCATAACACAAGGAAACCAGATTTTGGTGGCATTAGCGTTCCCTTCGGCTTGAATGTTGAATTTGGCACTTTTTAAAAGGGGCTCATTGGGCTGCTCTGTCATCTTCTTTTAAAAATAACGAAAGAAAAAATACTCTCAAGAACCACACTGGCTTCCAACATCCATCCTTACCAGGGAAGAGTCCCGGATAGTGGAGGATCCCTGTAGGAGTCCAAGCCACTTGTACTGGCAGTCACTGGCAACAGTAGCAGGGAATTAGAGGGTAGCAGGGTAAAAAGACCCAGATGGTCTTTTTAATGCAAAGATACAGATGCTTTTCTTTTTCCGTAATGGATGCAATAGTCATCTACTGGAAGCAAAAGACTGGATATTTCGAGCTTTGAGATGATCACAGTGGCCTGGGCGCGTTGGCTGCCTCTGTTACTGTGCCCAAAATCTCCGGGTTGTTTTGCCCTGAGAGCCTGTCCGGCCGCTTACCCGCCGCCTAGGTTGGGATTACAGGGTAGGGTTAGCACTAAATCTTCAGAGAGGTTTCAAGAATCCCGGGTTTTCACCCAAACCGAGTGCATTTCCACAGATGGGGATAACGGCCCTCAGCCCTTCCATGAGTCGCTCTAACCCTCTAATTGAGGCCGGGGGTATTTTGGGAAGCGTCTTGTGCGAATCCGGCACTTAGTCTGGGAAGGAAAGTTTGAGGTGGGCTCAGCCCTTCCTGCTGCCCCGGCCTCTGACCAGCAGAGGGCAAAGTAGCCTAGCAGGAATTTTGGCAGGAATTTTGTAATTGATTAGAATAAAAGCATATTCAAAAAGTGCTGTGTCCATCCTGGTGAAGTTTCAGCCCAGTTTCCTCAGTTGTCTGGAAAGATCCATAGAAAAGAAACTTGTGCATACTCACCACTATTCTTAAAGGCCTTATCTATGTGTGTTTTTATATCTATAAGGCAGTTCGTTTATTAATAAGTGCTACAGCAGCTTTGTTCTCTGTTAATGCAGCTGAATTGTACCTCCATTCAGAGATCTGTTTCAGCTGTGCTTTAGCCTCTGCTTACCTGCAGATTGGGAGGATCTGTGGCACTGACACCCTTCCAGAATTCCCAAGATGTAAATGGAAGATGAGTGAGCTCTCGAGACTAAGGTTGGAAGAACAAGATGAGTGCAGGGGACAGCAATTATGGTCTTCCACCATTTCAGTCTCAGGGTGCAAAGAAATATTTGGTGCTTAAAAAGAAAAGATAAATCCTATTTATTAAAACCAGGTATAACCCAGAATTTTGCAGAGATAAGGGAGGCCAATTTATGTTGCTATATCAGTTGTAAGGCTGAATTTTACAGGCCTGTTCCAGTACTACACACTTTCTCTGTGATTGCTGTTCCATACAGTGAGGGATAGTGCTGGCCTGTATGTAACCAAAAATTATAGTGTCAGTATATCAAACTTCAGAGAATGAAACTTGTAATGTGTTCTAATGTCTCTAGCCATATATATATATATATTTAAAATGTGAAATGCTAAGTTGCCTTAATATATATATTTTTTTCTCCCTCCTCCCCCTGTTTTCTCCCAGGCGAGGTCTTTCCGTAAGAAAGTCCCCGTGAAGGCGTATCCTGCTTTCCTCTGCACGGTGAGTGTGGCACCTTGCGCTCTGCGCCAACGTGCTCGAGAAGAGCAGAGTATCAAATTGAGCCCTGTTAAGTAGTGCTTGACGTGTCTAGCTTGTTCCTGAAAATCATAATGTTGTTCAGGAGATGTGGATGGAGCTGTTTATTTGATCATTCGTCGGTTGGTTTAATAAAAGATAATGCTTCTCTTAACGGATCTGGCCTTTCCTCCACTGCGAGGACATGAAGCTCACCCCACTGTTTATTACAGCAGGCAAGGCAGGCTATTTTGCAGTCTATAATTCAGTTTCATATATTGTATTCTGGCATCGTGTCTAATTATTTGTGCATGCCATATGGACTAACCATTTTTTTCTTTTCTAGGTTGCTTTAGAGGATTATTTATGTAATATACAGAAAGTGGACTTCAATATATTTCATCCAAGCTTGCAGAAGAAAAGTACATTATTACCATTGTATTTGTATATTAGATCTTGGAAAAAAACATATTAAAATATTCTTAATATGAGTTTCAAATTGCCATTTTTTTTCTTTAATGTCTTAACTCGATAGAGTTGTGAGATGTGCAACTTCATGCTTCTGCAAGCTGCTGTCCGTGGGAAACAGCAGCAGTGCTGCCCTTGCTGACAGGGAGGCTCGGTCTGGGTGCGCTGGCTGGTGCCTCTGCTTCTCGTGTCTGCCAAGCCGTGTGTCCTCTCCTGAGGTGACGTTTCCTGTCTTTCCTGCAATAGCAGCAGCGTGAGGGGAGTCTGCTGGGACAAGTCCTGTAGCAGTGGATGTCGCTCCCGAGGACTCCACGGGCTTGACGAAAACGACCGCCCTGTCCCCGCACAGGAGCAGTCTCGGTCGATGCCCTGCAGACCAGCTAAGCAGCAGCACTCCAAAGGGCTGGGGCAGAGCTGTAGTGCAGAAGTGCTGTCCGGGTGTCGGGGCCTGCTTTGAAGTGACTCTGTTTGATGGGAGGGCAGCTTTCCAAACGAGGAGGGAGGGTTATAGTTTATATGGGTTATACTTGCATGGGTTTTATCTCCCGCCCAGCCGCAGCACTTTCCTGCTCTGCTCTTAGCTCAGCGTCGTCTTTCTTCTGCCCCAAGAGACGTCTCTGCTCCTGCCCGCAGCTGCCACTGCAGTAGGGGTCAGCGGCGCCTGTGAGGGATTTTCTTCATGTCTCTCGTGTTACCCTCCTGTGTGTCTTCCCTGATTTTTTTTCTTCACTATTTAAAAAAAAAAATCTGAATGCTCCATGTCATTTTAGTCCTCTCTCTGCAAAGATTTTTTTTTTTTTTTTGGTGAGGAATTTTTGGGAGCTTTGTACTCAGCATCTCTTGGGATGAATGAGTGTTGAATGTGAAATATTTCGGATTGTATTACTTGGTAAAAGAATACTTCCTAACAGCATCCAACTTGAATCAACTGCACAAATCCAGTAGTTTCCTCTGCCATCATCCTTTTTCTATTAAATAGCTTTTTCTTCCCAGACTACTTTTTTTTTTTAATCGGAGTTAATCTCCCCAGATGCTTGATTGTGTAACAGCATCCTGTATTTTATTGTACGGTGCTACATAATGAACTTTTGAGAGCAAGATTTGTGGCTTCTTTAATCACTGAGTCTCTCAAGACTGAGGAAATCTTAGGAACCTGGTACTAAATCCTTCATTCAGTGAGTTGCTTTACACGTTTGCAGTTGGTTGAAGAAACAGATCATGGTTAGTTTGGCGTTTTTCTAGTCCCAAGTAAGACATTTTTTCTTTGTGGAGCTCAGGATCTTGGACTCTGTGTTGTTAGAGGTGCAGTAACTGAGGTTGATACGAAACCAGGAGAACGTGTGCCCGTTGCTGCTGGCTGGGAGCGTGGTGATGCTTTCTGGCAGTGCAATCCTGTGGCTCAGTCCGTTTCTCAAGGTTGCAGCTCCCCACGGGTGTCCTTGAACCTGCCAGAGAGGCCTGGAGAGAAGCGCCCGTTTCCCTCCCGAGCAGGTTCCGCAGCTCCTGCTGCCCAGGCAAGAGCAGAGGCTGGAGCTGCAGCCACGAGGCCAGCTGCGCATTCCTGGTGGTTTCATGCTCTGGAGAAGGAACTGCCGTGTCCCAGGCTGGCTCCTGGTGCGCGGAGGCAGCCCTGGCTTTCCTCCCAAAAGGAATCGTGCTCATGGTCAGCTCTGGCAGGAATTTAGTAACACGGGAAAGGAGGAGGACCGTGCGGGAATCAGGCCGTGGAGCGGCTACAGGAGCTGCCATGTGAGGCTGCGGATGGGTAGCGTGGTGAGAGGAGCTCGTCACCAAATTGGTAAACAGGAAGTGGAATAAGCAAACTGAAGCTGTGATTTTGGTCACACGAGTCTAGAGTGACCTCAGAAAGTAAAGCAGAGCTCTGAGTTGCAAGCGATGGGAGGTGGTTTGAATAAGCAGGGTATGGTGCCTCTGTATCCCTGTCCTATGGTCATGCCTGGTCCTGCCCTTCGGAAGTGCCGTGGACAGGGCTGCAGACTATGTTGTGCTTAATGCCTTCAAACAAGGTGCAGTCTTAGTTTGTCCTCTCTGAAGAGCGTTATCCCCTTTCATGGCACTTGGTGCCATATAAGAAACTCAGTTCATCAATTCTGGTAGTTCCTGATCCCACAGCAGTCGCAGTGCCGTGAGCCTGCCCTGGAGGAGGCCCTGCGAGCACCGCGTTGCCTTTTGGCAGCGGCAGGGAATGGTGCAGGAGCAGCAGCCGGCTGTGCTGTGCGCTGGCTGCGCGGATCAACCTGTGGTTCGGTTAGAAAGCTCAGCCATGCAAGACGCAGGGCAGCAGGTGCCAAGGGGGTGGCAGTGCTAAGTGATAAAGATCTAGAAGAACCCCCCACACACCTTTTTTTTTTTTTTTTCCCCAGTGTTATTCCTGGAACTTTATTGTTTTCTATTCAGAAAGCAAACATTAATGCATTTCAAATGCAGAGCTAATCTGCCCAACTGTTCATTCAGACGGAGATACATCAGAGAAAACTCCTCTACTTAAAGAGTCTAAATTCTGCAGCTGTGTCCTGTGCCCAGCCTACCCGTGTGTTTCTGAATTGTTCATCAACACTTGCCCCCTCCAGCAGGTCTCGCTAACGTGGACTTGCCAGGCTAAGCAGAGCCAGACGGGTGCACCACACTGGCGGGTTCACTTCCCAGTGACCTTACGTGTTTTCTGTATCTGTTAGATCTTTGGGGGTTTGTTTTGGTTCGGTTTATTTACAGAATTGTAGTTGCTGTCTCTAGAGTATTTGGTTGGAGTCTTCCAGAATCTCTGCTTGTGTTTTGCTAGCTTAAAACCAGCCGCATAAGAACTGTGTTACTTGGGTGGGGGGTCTCACTTTGTCTTGGTGATACACAACTACACAGCAGCTGTGGGACCAAAGAGCTGCACAAATGACCTCAAACATCACTTGATCAAAGATCTTGCGGTTTATTTGAATATGAGCTTGTGAAGTAGTCCAACTCCATGGCTATTTATAGGAAAAAAACACTATAGCTATAACATCCAATTGCCCATGGGCGTGACAAAAGGATACTTTTTATATTGTTTATATTTTTTATTGTCAGAGATTTGGAATTTATAATTAATAATTTTCTGTATCTTAGGAAGATAGTGGGAAGGACTCTGAATTTTTGTTTTCAGTTTTACAGTTACAGCTGCTTTCCACCAGCATAAAGGATGGTTTGAATTATATTGAGTTGTCAGCGAAGCAAGAAAACATCATTGTGTTTGCTGCCTACTACAACCTTGGTGTCTACCCTGTGCCAAGAAGAGAGAGGCTCTAGTGGGGCTGGGGTATTTTGTATGTGGGTGGATCTCTTATTGCTTCCTACATCAGCATTACCAGGGCTTCTGGAGAATCCAAGCCCATATGTTGGGACCTAGATGGCAAGATTGCTTAGACTTCTCCTAGTCCATTCTTAAAAACACCAAAACCAAAAGACTTAAAATCACACTTTTAAAAATTCAGAACGTGTAGCTGGTTTTGCCAGAGTGCATCCAGGTGCTGTTTCTTGGTATATTATTGTGTATAATCAATGGAGGCTGAAGCATGAAAGCTGAAGTTTTATAATTTCACACTTCCTTTACAGTTTTCTGGCAGAGCAAAACATTGCTGTCTTGGGCATTCATGCCTATGTAGATGGTCAGGCTTCAGTAAGCATAAAATTTAGTGAGGGGAAGGAAAAACTCTTTAGATAAAATTGTTAGGTTTCCATGTTAGCAAGACAACATTCCCTCACCAAAGTGCTTGCACAGGACATATGGATTTAGGAACAGCCCAAGCAAAGGTTGGCTGTTGTGTTCGCTCTGTGCAAATCTAAAAGATTTGCAGATCTTTATTCACACTCTCCTTGAAATTTCCACTATAACTTAAAAAAAAAAGAGAGAATACCCCCAAGGTGGAAATGCATGAGGGGCTTAATAACAGAGCCCCTCGTTTAGTAGGGGGCTCTGTTATGTAGGTTTTCAGAAGTGAGAAGCCTGAACTGTAGCTCCAGAAACAGATCTGCCCACCTGCAAATACTGTAGTATTTTTGTAGTGTGAGTGACTGAGTCAACTAATGTGAAACAGGAGGAACTCAGCCCCATAAGTCTAAAATCACAGTGCAGGTAGCCCCGCTGCTGGTACTAGAGGCCGCTAAACTTTGCCGACATCTGCTTTCAAAAGCCTTGAGGAGCCCGGAGCTGTGTGTGTGGGCAGGTGCAGACCCGTCTCTGACCATTCTGTCCAACCTCGGCCTCTTGAGAGCCCCTCCGCAAGCCCAGGAGGTGCCAGCGCGACGGCCTTGCACGGGCTGCAGCCCTCGGCTGGCGTCTCGGCATCAGAGAGCTCCTGCCCTGGCTTCCTCCTTGGCCTGCGGCGTCCTCGACCCCTCAGGAGCGCCCCGGGTGGCAGGAGGAGCAGCCCTCCAGCTCCCGGAGATGCCAACAGGCGACGCTCCACGGCTCAGGCCTTCCTGCGAGAGCCGCTCTGCGTCACGGCAAAGGATTCGTGATTCGTTTGGAAAGAGGTGAAGGGAACCGTGAGGCCACAGCCCTGCTTCGGGATTTGTCCCCTTCCCGAGGAGAGCGCTAAGCTCTGGTGTCTGCTTCTGCGCCTGGGAGTCGGGTGTTTATGGGCCTTTGCGATGTGGATCTGGGCCTAGTCTGCTGGAGAGCTTTAATGCAAGCTGCTCCCGGAGGAGAGGAGGTTAGAACGTGTTTTCCTGCCAATCCAGTCAGATGCTGTTATCATTGCTTAAAAGAAACCCTCCAAAACCCCGAAGATTCAAATATAGCATAACATCTGTTTGCCTTCTTCTGATGTCGGGAGATGTAAAAGCACCCTAAAGATTTATTCATCCGTATTTTCTTGAGTTATTGCTCGTTTCAGTCCCAGCTAAACACACAAAAAAGGTGTTCATTGACTTAAACCATAGCTTGGAAGAGGACAGTTTAAGGAGGGAAATCCAAATTTCACCTTACGGTTTGCTCAGAAATGCTCTAAACTTTCAGTGAGATAATATGCTC